CTTGGTCTTTGCTTTGCTAGAAGTGGTTTTAAACGAATAAATAAAGTGATATTTTGTGTGAATACGACCTCAAATCGGCAGGACATACAGATGTTAAATAAATACATTATATAAATTTAAACTACATTTTTAATAGAAGAATGAGGAAGTTGATTAAAAAAATGTGCTAAAATATGTGGTATAAACTATTTTAAAATGATATGATAGTATTTTATCTATGCTGCTAACAACGAAAATGCGGACATCCGTATTTTTTATGTATTAGTCATGATCATGGCAACATTGAATTAAAATTGGTTATTTTAAAGCCTCAAAATTAAATAATGTAATAACAATACTGACTTAATTGTAATAAAAAATTTAACGCTCAATAAACATTTAAATAATCTCAAAACTTGCGGAAAAAATTAAGAGTCGCTTCGTTTTAAGTATTAATAAATAATGTTCTCCTGATCGATTCCGGCCACAGCGGCCAATCTTATTGAGAGTAGGCAACTGCGCAGAAGATATTATAGTGCACAAGTGTACGCGCAAACACAAGTGCACTCTCTATTCCTGTCACTCTCATACTCCGGTGGGACGATTACTCAACACGACCGGTGAGAGTTAAGGCGCAGGACCGACGGCTTTATGTGCTCTCCGAGGCACGGGGGTAAAACACCGCCAACTTCCCAACTCCAGGTTGTTACTGAGGCTTACTTATACAGAATGACTCAATAACTAAACTTGGCCCGACCCGGGACTCGAACCCAGGACCTCCACCAACCAGGTGTGCAACCGTACATGCTAGCCAGTCGGGAGGTCATTAATACGTCTGTACCTTTTTTTTTGCCAAACTCTAATTTTATTAGTTTTAAATTGATATACAAAAACTTTTTTAATGAGTACATTTGTCTTTATAAGATTATAACTTAAAGGTATATTTGAGGTATAAAAGTGAAAACTTATGAGGTATAACCATTGAAAATAAAAAAATCCATCCCACGACGGTGGAATAATGACTTTAGTAATTTTCGAATTCAGTGTATTTTATAGTTATAAAGTATTTTTTTGGAAAGATTGAGTTTATTTGTAGACTTAAGAATTAGGTACGTTGTATGTAACTAAAATAACACGGGCAAATAAAACATATTTTTTTCGCATGTTTTACAGGAAATGGCCAAGGAGAAAACAAATAAAGAAGGTCACGCTAGTATCGAAGTACTTTACAATTAAAATATATATATATTTAAATTATTGTAGGTAGGTATTATAATAGATATAGTGATGATGTTCTCCTAGCCGATTCCGGCCACGGCGGTCAATCTCATTGAGACTAGCCAACTGCGCAGGAGATATTATAGTGCACGAGTGTATGCGCAGACACAAGTGCACTCTCTATTCCTGTCACTCTCATACTCCGGTGGGACGACCACTCGACACGACCAGTGAGAGTTAAGGCGCAGGACCGACGGCTTTACGTGCTCTCCGAGGCACGGGGGTGAAACACCGCCAACTTCCCAACTCCGGGCTGTTACTGAGACTTACTATACAGAAAGACTCAATAACTAAACTTGGCCCGACCCGGGACTCGAACCCAGGACCTCCGAGTGTGCAGCAGCAGATGACTGTATATTATATGATAAATAGGCTACCTTCCTCAATAAACAGGCTATCTAATACAAAACGAATTTTTCAAATCGGTTTAGTAGTTCCTGAGATTAGCGCGTTCAAACAAACAAACTCTGCCTCTTTATAATATTAGTATAATGTTATATTTTAAATGTTAAATTCTGGCGTAAATCTAAGAATATATTATGTAACACATATTTCGACAGTTGTAGAATATAGACCGAAAACGAAATGAAATACCTATCATTGTTCTCTTTGCGCAGCTTTTTCCATTATTGGAGAAAGCTTAAAGCTTTGAAAGATTTTTCTTCATAATTTACTATTCATATTTGAAAGTCTACTTAAGGTAAAGGTACTTTTGTGTGTGATAGACTATATGGGTTTAATTTAGACACAGCGTCGTTTTTTTATTGGCCAAATAAATATGTATTACTTTAGTTTTGGCCTCCAATCTTCTCCTCGAACTCGAAAAATCTCAATATTTGTGATGTCGGTATACGCAAGTATTTTTGAGGTATGCACTTTTCGATACTTAACATATCTACAAAGTTGTAATTGATACTTATGTCAATAAGTCGTTTCTAAAAGCACATTTTTGTTCCATTAATTGATTTTCAACTTGAAATATTCCTGGTAAAATACATTTTGCGAGCGTCACATACATATTTCGTAACTTCAGCCATTATCCTCTTGTCACCGTAAGAGATCACTGTGACAGCATTGTCATATGAATTTTAAGCTATCACATCACTAAATATACTGTTTTGTTTTTTCACGCATTGTAATTTAAACAGACGATAACATTGTGTCAAAATTTTCAATTTTGGAATTTTAAATGATTGTATCTCTAATTTTTATACTTATTAATGGCACACTATCATTAAGGTCACTGCCTCGGTGGTTTAGTGAATAGCAAGTACGACTGCAGCCCCGGAGGTACTAGGTTCGAATCCCGGGTTGGTCAAATTTTATATAGTATTCAGTCTATCTATTAAGAAGATCTCAGTAACAGCCTAGATTTGGAAAGTTCACAGATTTTCACTCCCATGCCCTGGAGAGA